ACTGCTGCAGTTGTTGTTCTTGAGTTTTTGCCTGATCTTCATCCATTTGAATGCCGCCAACCTCGCCATTCCGAGATCTGAACATGACAAATGACGTCTCCTCGTCGTTAACACTCGGGACCTCGATTACTTGCTTTCCAGCAGTCTGGGAATCTTTCCCTAGGATATCGGTCTTCATCCTATTACTAATAACTGTTACATAGTCTTCCATATGCTTCTCCATGGGATCAAGGCCAAGATATATCAAAATCTCCCAACATTTAAGAAACTGTTTCTTGTTGATTTTCAATGTTTTCCTGACTTCCTCAACTATATCAGGGGGTGGCAAGAATCGAGGAATATGGGGTTTTTTAGACATTTTCCCTTGCTTCAGTCGTGAGACGGCTGATTTAACAGCATCCTGGGCTGGTTCAAAAGCTATCAGACGTTTTATATCGAAACTGGTCCGTACATGCTGGAAGTAATCTAAAGGCTCTTCAACTGTCAAGTCGTAAACGTTTTCAGATATTGCAACGTTGCTAAGAGCCTCCAGAAGGTGGCTGCCGTAACCCTTGTGCTGGTAAGGAGGCAATACCAGAATCTGCCAACAAAAGAAATAATTTCATAAAAAAAATGCTATTTGTAGTTGGCAGAATATATCAACATGTAACAGTTGTTGAAGAGCGGCATACACATTGGGTTCCAATCAGTCTACCTCAGATTCTAACATGAATAATAACAATGAAAGAGATTAACCTGGCTGAGCCACAACCGTGAACCATTAGGGAAACGATAAAAACGATAAAGCGCCGCAAAACCAAACAATAAATGCTGAGTGTTCTCAGGCTGATCAATTTTCTTCTTACTCAAGAGATTAACTCCCAGCTTGGGTCAGATACATCAATAGGATTGCTACCTGGTCAAGAAAATATAACTATTTACATTATATTAAGAATTAGATACATTATACCATTAACATTCAGCGAAGGTGACAGCTACCATCAACAAGAAGAAGAACCAAAGGTACCAAGCGACTATAAAGATGCCCAGCAGCCAAATTATCTATCTTCAGGCGAACAACCTAACACAGGAAGAAAGCAGATCAACCATGGCTAACATTTGCAAATCAAAGGAGTCTACAAAAAAAAAGGGTAGAGAAAAGAAATGACTGTAGGAAGGTTACTAATTGTGGATGCTTCAGAATTTCATGTAGTGCAAAAAAAAAAACTACCACAAAAGACTCAAACTAGCAACAAGAAGGGAAACAACAATAAAAAATCTAACAAAAAGATAATAGCAAAAGAGCAGGAAGACTCCTTGTGCTGTCAGGTTTAAAGCAAAACTTAAAACCAAACAAAATGAAGATAGCACAGAAGTTTCAAGCCGGGCACTGGAACTGAGAATAGTAATAACAGTGTTATTTAGGCAACATAACAAACACTTTATTCATATCATACATAATTCAAGATGGAACTAATGAGAGTAGCAAATATTTCAGTGCATGTAAAGACGGTAAAATTACCTCCAGATCAGATGAGGCTGCGTCTGAATTGCCATTAAAATGAGTTATATGACCACTTGAAGCTTTGGTTTGCAACTCCTCTCCATGGGAAACAACAGAACTGAGAATGGTAATATATGATATTGACTATTGAGTACACAAAACCATAAGCAAAGAAAAATAGAAAGCCAAGATTGCTAAGGTAAAAGGGAAATAAACCTTTATATGTGCATAAGATTTCATGACATAATACCTAACGAAATTATTCTCAGTTGAAAAAGTTTGCAGGAAGTCGTCTTTGTTCTCCAAAAGAGTGTCACCAAAAAATTTCTGTACAAAATGGACATAAAATCAGGAAAACCTCATGATATCAGAGATTAAGCTAAAGCTAAACATGGTAGATAATGTGTACCTCAAGAGCAGATTTCAGGTCTGTAATCCCTTTGCCCCCCTGAATAAACAACAGTTAAAATCATTAAAATCTCATGAAAAAAGACAAATGAAATAATTCACTGACTCAACATGATAGAAATGGATATTAAAACCACTAATGGTTAAGGATTGCAGGTTTCTACTTACACCAGATGTGCATTGGAAGCTAATATCAGCATGTGCATGAAAAGAAATGCTGCTAACCCAGACAGTTATCTGGGAAAATGAAATAATAGATGAACACTAAACCATCAACAAAACAAAATAACATTTAAAGGCAAATATGCTGCAATTTATGAATGCATGTTACCTTTAACCCTTGGTAACCGTATATCTTCTCATCTTCTTCAAAAAAACAGTTCAAATCAACTGGATCGATACAGAAACCATCTGAAGTTCCAACTTCCTCTTTCTTAGAAACTAAATTGACAGCAATTAAGAAAAGTTAGAAGTCCTATAAATAAAGTTCCTGAGGAAAATAAATGGCGGTATTGTTTTTTTGCTGTCAGTTAACAAAGTCAATAAGAGCATCCAGTTATCAAAGTGAAAAATTCAACTTTCATTTTTTTTCCATCAACATGTAACAAAACCCAAAACAATTCATAAATTTGACATAAAAAACGAATATAAGTTATAAAAGAAAACAAACAAACAAAAAACGAAACTCACCCAAGTAAATTTTAATGCAGTCATTAGGATCAACTCCAGCATCTGCTTCAAGGCGAATCAAAAAACAAACAACAGTGAGCGAAATCAAAAAAGCAACTCGTTGAAAACCAAATAAAATGGAATTTACAACCAAGTGAGTGGGATACACAAAACGTAATTTGGGAGGAAAAGCTAAATAATATAAGGATGAAACCGGAGAAGAGGAGACTGACCGATACGGGAAAACCAGACGCGTCGCTTTTTGTTGGGCTCGGGGAGCGGATCGGCGTTGGGATTTTGTTGCTTCTTTCCCATTTGAACGAGGCTTAGGTGGAGTTTGTTTCGCTTGAATGTTTATAACGGAATCTCTGAAGAATTGAAATTTGAAGAAATGAAATCTGAATCTTAAATCTCTTTTATTGCCAGAAATTGAATTAGAATTCAATTCTATATTTTGTTTGTACAGTAAAAATTATTAGATGAATTTAATTTCAGTAATGTAAAATGATAGAATTACTTTATTATTTTTTTGTTTAATTTTAGTTTATTTTATAACTTACATATTATAATATATTATAAAAAATATTAAATATTAAATATTAATTTTTTATTTTATTAATTGATTTTTTATTTCAATAAATTATAAAAATCATATTAATAAACATCATAAGTTAAAATCATCCCAATTAGGGATAGTCATAGGTCGGGTTGGGTCGGATTTTTGGTCCACCGACCCGAGAACAAGGAAAACTCCACCCGAGACCCGATCAAAATAAAGTTTCACCTGACCCGACCCGACCCGAAATAGTAAAAAAAATTATTCAATAAAAACAATAACTTAATTGAAAAAATATTATATATAGGGGTATTATTGTAATTATTCTTAAATATATAAGGTAAAATTATATATTTTGTCGGGTCAGGTATTTTTCACCCTAAACTCGAACTCGACCCGAATATCACACTTACAAAAACCCGACCCAACCCCGAAATTTTAAAAAAACCCGACCGACCCGTATATTACACTTAAAAAACTCGACCCGAATATCAAACTTAAAAAAACTCTACCCTACCCGACCGACCCGAATCCGATCCTGATTTTTTTTTAAAAAAATTAACCCGCATACCAAAAGATTGATAATGGTAGTATGATCAAATTTTACGTTCTCTCATCCAAAAGATTTCAATTCTATTATGTTATGGATGAAATTTACTTTCCATAGAATTAGATTTCAATTTTCTCTTTAAAACTTAAACCAATCATAAAAAAGTGATAAAATTAAATTTCAATTTCCCTTAATTTCAAAAAATTATAGCGAATCAAACGTCTTAAGATTTTGCAGAGCGAGAAATGAACTGTGAGGCGGGAAATTATGCTTTACAAAGTTGGGGAATATAATTTAGGGTTATTTATAAATAAACACTGTGAAGACGCGATCAGAAAAGGGACTCATCACGTGCATTCCACGTGATATATTTTTAAAACGGGCTCGTCATTTTTAGTCCACATAGAATGGACTTAAAAGAAATAGTATATTACGTGTTTAGTATCTAAATTATTAATTTTAACTCGTTTTAATATTTAAATTTGTAATATTTTAAATAATACCTATAATTTAATTTTTATTTCATTTTAGTACACTACCGTTAAAAGCTTAAGTTTTTGTTTTATTTTAGTATCCGTTCAAAATTTAACGTTAAATTTTGAAAAAATTGAAAGTTTATGTACTAAAAATGATCAAAACTTAATAGTTTAGATACTAAAAGCGTTATTTTTTTAACGAAGGGGTATTAAAATGAAATGAAAAATAAACACTATATTTTTAGCTGACCCTTATTCCCATATGTAATGGGGTAAGGGGGAGGTAGGATAGTAGGTTGCCCCAAACACCAGGTTGAGAGCAGCTTCCGTGTGAGACCTCCGAATTATGAATTGCCCAACATGAGACTCGATCCCACGACCACAAGGTTAAGAGCCTTGTGCTCTACCAACTGAGTTGGACGGATAATTTACGGTTTTGAAAAAAATGGAAGTTTATGTACTAAAGCAAATTAAAACTGATATTTTAAGTACTAAATGTGTAATTTACCCTAAAAGAAAAGCCACAAGGCCATCATATAAATTCATTGTTCCATCATTTTCTTAATAATATATTGTGTTGAAGATAGAAATGGCACTGAATTTTGATTGATCGATCGAATCTCATTTGATATTATTATAACAAAATTTTATTATGATCCGATTCGAGATTTAAAATATTTGTTTATGATATGGGAAACTGGAGAACATAAATTTCAAATTTGAGCATAGCAGAGGGATCAAAACCATAATTTGACCAACTGAATGGTGCTTTGAACTGCAGGCGTACATCCATCCATTGGATAGCCAAAAACATGTTCTGAACAAGTTCATAATCGATACATTAATTGAACTGTTTACTTTTCTGAGGCTGAGAATCAGCACAAACACGTTTGAAATGGTGCAAGCAACAATAAGTTCAATGCACACGCCTGCAGATAGTGATCCCGTCGCCTAACGGAGCGAGTGAAATTCCGACTCGAGTATCGGCGGCGAGCAATTTGTTGAACTCCATAGTTCTCTGTCTTCCTTCTTTCATTACCTCCGGAGTGCACTCTTCCGGCATCGCAACCGATCCTCCCCACAACGTGTTATCGTACACAACAATCCCACCAACCTTCAACAATTTCATCAGCCTCTCATGGTAATTCCAGTAGTTGATCTTGTCGGCGTCGATAAAAGCAAAGTCGAAGCTGTTTTCGTTCCCGGGCTGCAACCAGAAACACCCGAGTGAGATATTAATGACAATCTGGTCTCGACAAGATGCTAACCAGGGACAATGAATGGAAACTAAGAACAAGGCTTTTAATATAAGTCATCCCCTTACATTTGCAAGTAGATTATCAAGGACTGGCAAAGCCTCCGATTCTATGAAGTCAATTTTGTGTTCGACACCGGCTTTTCTGATAACAGGCAACCCTATCTCATATGCATCTCGATTCATATCTACGGCTATAATCTGCACAAGAACGAATGGTAAAGAAGAGCACAAACAACATCGAGTACATGGACTTCAAGTCGGTTTCGTACAGGGGAAAGCTGGGGAAGCTTCCATGTTAGTTCACACAAGTCAATGTTACAGATTGTTCGCTTATGGGCTAATGAATTAGTCTCGACCGAACAGATGGATTGTTTACCTTGCCATCCTGGGGAATTGTAAGAGCGGTAAGCAGAAGTGAGTATCCGGTGAAAACTCCGACTTCGATTGTCCTTTTTGCATCTATTAGCTTCAAGAGCATGGCAATTAGCTGCCCTGCATCAGGTGCAGTAGCCATAACAGCCCTAGAAGATAACAATCAAGTACAATCACTTCATTATAGAAGCTAAAAAAGTAGGAAACCATTGTTTACGAGGTAATCATCTCGTACATACTGCAAAAATGACTGCAATACTATACTTCATTACCTCGGGTGGGTAGCGGTGATGTCCCTTAGCTCTTTCAACGGCTCCGGTTCACGCGGATACACATTAGTCTCGAGTACATACTGTGACATTATTGTAGTATATATGACTTAAGAATCTAAGACAGGTAATAAGAAATCAAGTGATTCAAGAGAGAGGCCATACCTGATACAGTTCTTCACTCTGCAATAATCCCTTGCTGAAACTTGTCGATCCTTTCTTTTCATAATCCATAGTTCTAAAATTTTTCCGAACAATAACTCACGTTTTTACGATAGAGAAATAATTACTACGAAATTGATGTTGAAAAGAAGTCATCTTCATCATTAACATACGTGATCATGACACCGTGAACAAAGATCAATAGTGCAACTAAAAATAGGTTCGATCTACAATTAACCGATTATAACAACCCGGAGAATTAAAGACTATGGATGAGCAAAACTCTACTAAACTCGAAAAAAATTTAAATACGGTTTGAGTTAAAAAAATATGACTCAATTAACACCACTTCATAAACTAGAATTGACTCAAAAAATTTAAATAAAATTTGAGTTATAAAATAAGATTTATTAACTTGAATGACTTGAAATTTTTTGAATCGACTCGATTGAATATTTACCCATAATAAGGACCGAAGTTTCAATGTTCTTTAAAGGAGCGAAATCACAAAATCGGTCATATTCGTGAACAAAATGAAGATCGATCTTAACCTAGTAACCATATATCCGCCCTCACACAAATTCCATATCAAAATCCTTATTCCCAATAGCAATAACAAATTAACAAAACTACAGTTTCTTAGTTTTCGAATTCCAATTACCTTCATAAAGTAGCCCTACCAACAACGATTCGGTGAGTACATCATTAACCGATACGATTAGGGTTTGATTAAATTGAGCTATCAAAGAGAGAGATTACCCTGTGGGGCCGCCTGTGGCTATGAGAAAAGCTGCAATCTGGGAATTGATAGAACTTTCTTACAAGTCAAGTCTCGATTACGACATTTGACTTCCAGTCGCTTTCCATAGCCTAAAACATGAAATGCGATGCGAATGCTTGAACTAATATGTAAATAAATGACGCTGAGATTGGGTATGGGTAACTGGATAATATCCGTTTTAAGCCCAACAGTTTCGAAATTGAGACGAATCAAATTTAAGGTGATTTTTTTTCGAATTAATTCAATCCAAATAATTATTAGGGTAAACTATGTATTTAGTATATAAATTGTGAGTTTTGATTCATTTTAGTACTTAAACTTTCAATTTTTTCAAAACCATACCTCTCGTTTCATTTTAATACCTCACCATTAAAAATTTATTACATTTAGTACCTAAACTATTAGTTTTTATTTGTTTTAGTACCTAAACTTTTAATATTTTCAAAATTTAACGTTAAATTTTGAACAATGTACTAAAATAAAATAAAAACTAACGTTTTTAATGACAGGGTACTAAAATTAAATAAAAAGCTAAACTTTATGTATGATTTTGAAAAAAAATTGAAAGTTTAGTTAATAAAATAGACAAAAGCTAATAGTTTAAATATTAAACGTGTAATTTACCCTAATTATTATAATATCTAAAAAAATTATAAAAATTTATTATAATATTCGTTTATATGAAAATTTTTAATTATCTCTCTAATTTGCCAAATAAAAACATATGTCAGGACGGATTAAAGATGAGTGATTAAATACCATTTTTTTTAGTGCGAGTGACACATAGTAATAGTTATGGGTCAAGTTGGATCGAACTTTTAACTGACACTCAATTCGAGACTTAAAAGAGTCTTGCTCTAATCCAATTTTTTAAGTCAAAATCTGCTCTGCACCTGAGCTAAGTATAAATATATAATTCGTTTTTAATATATAAAATAAGAATTTATTAAAAAAATAAAATAAAAATATTATTACAATTATCTTATAATATTATGTCACGTCAGATCAATTTATTTCACCTAAACTCAAAATTTGATTTAATCTCACCATTAAATAACTCGACACGACATGATCTAGTCTCATTAAAATAAAAATTAATCTAATCGGATCAAATCAAAACCTACCAAGTCCTAAACATCGCCAAATAAAGTAAGATCAAATGAAAGATTTCAACTTTTAAATTAGAGTCGAGCCAATAAAAAAAACCAGTACCACGTCCATCCCTAACTATAGGCGAGTAAAAACCCTGCATTGTGTATTCATTCAAATATACGCCGATTACGTTTATTTATATAGAAATTATCATGTGGGATTAATAATGAATATTAGAACACTGTATCAGAAAGCAAAACGAACAAACGTATTCATTGGCGATTCTGTTTGAGAGATTTAAGAATGCGGTTAGGGTATCATAATCAGGAAGCTTTGGGTGAACATGAGTTGACTTCTCCCCAATTGAAGTTTGAGCCTCTGAACTCTTGTAACTACCCGGTGATACAATCTCCGGGACTGATGTACATGGATGTTCCTTTTCCGTCGGCTCCGAGGACAATGTTGTTTCAAGGGTGGAATTTCCCGGTGAATTCGAAGGAGAAACGTTTTTCTGATGAGGAAATTGCGTTCTCGAACGAGCATTTGGACTTGTTTTAGGAAGATTTTCATTGGAATCACTATTTTCCAAATCGAAATATGGCACGGCGGGGACAGTTAAGGTTGATCTTCTATCTTCTTCAAAGCTTGGCATTCTGTTGTATTGGTCTCGAGTGCTACTAAAACTATGTTTTGGTCTTTCCTTCTCGAAGTCATCACTGGAATCAGCACGAGTGACTGATGCTCTCTTGCTGAGTTTTATACTCGATTCATCACTCCCTTTCGGTTCTCGATTGTAAGATCGGGAACTAACTGAATCCTCCTCTAGGGGAGGGGGTGATTGCTTAAATCCAGCAGGTGTATCATTCTCTGCCTCTGAAGAGGATAAAGCATATGGTGGATACCTATAGTCCTTGTTTCGAATGCCATCTTCCATGTCCCCAGACAACGGTTGATTGAAAATAATGTTTTCGGCTTCGTGGGATTCCAAATTCTTTTTCTGACTACCTATAATATAATTGTTGTTCCTATCAAACTTGTCTAGCTCCCCTTCACTTTCTGAACTAGGGCCGTAATTATCGAAAGTCGGAGGCAAGTCATCTACATGTGAAGGGCCTGCTGAGTTTGTTGAACTTTCGAAGACGATAGGAGTAAACTGCTTCTCCAAGAGGATATGCGATTGCGAAGTGGACTCTTTAGGCGACTCAACCTTCTTCTCAGTGCTCCAAGAATGTGTACATGGACATGGATGAGTAGGTGGTCTTTGAAATGGAGACAAAAAGTTCATACCATATTCATGTTCCTTATGCTCTTCCTCCAAATCAAATTTGTCTTCAGAATGTGATCCATAATCATCAAAAAACAGCCGAGGCATTATCATAAAAGCCCGTTGTTTCTATTTTGTTTCTTTGAGGGCTTTCTTTATCGTTGAAAAGAAAAGAATTCTCAACAGAAAAGTTTCCCGACGTCCGACGATTTAAATCTGATATGCCATAAAGATCATCAGCAAAAGTACCTGAACTGGAAGATGAAGAGCTTGACTGCTTGCCGGTCCTTCCTTCCTGATAATCAGCAAAATCAGAAGTCCTTCTATCATGTAATTCATTCACAAACTGTTTCCTTTCATCTGAGTTTCTCTTATCATTTTCAGTCTTCTGCCAACTTAAGTTAGAAGCACCATCACAATCATCTCTGAAAGTGTTTGATTGAGAATGAGAAGAAGAATATCTTGTTTGTTCCCTGTCTTTGACTTCATGATGATCAACATTCTGAGCATTCTTACTGTGCAATTCGTTCACAAAATGCATCTCATTGCCTGAGTCTCTCTTCATGATCACTTCACCAAAATGCTCCGTCTGCCTGCCAACAGATGAATTTCTTTGAGAATATGTATCTGGAATTTGATTAGTAACTAATGATTTTTCATTGAAGGTAGCTGCTGTCGACTTAGAGGCACCACGAGTGAATTTATCATCATTCCACACCATGTTACTAAGACCATTTTCAATCTCTCCTGTTTGATTGGCTGGTTCATTGCTGTCAGTCTGTTCATAATTCGTAGAATTCGTTCCATGGATGGAATTATTAACTGTCCGTCTGGAAAGATGTTCATATTGGGAGGTCGAGACAAATTTTTTTCTCAGTTCCTCATCTTTCATGCCACGAGCTGACATGTTTGAGTCCATTGAATACTGCTGGGAGATATTTTCAAGATGTTCAGCAGCAGCTTGGGCAGCCATACTCGCTCGCTCTGCAGATTCCGCAGCTGCGTGAGCAGCAGCAGTGGCATCCTTGAATTCCATATTCCCATGTTGCTGAGGTGAGGAGAAATAACTCTCATTCCCATAGGATGAATTCCTAAATTCCATCCCTTGATAATCAGTTTCTGCAAAGCAAAACACCCAAATATAATAATAATTAACAATGGATAAGTAAGAACTGAATAATACGTGTACCTCTAGTTTTTGATCTTGGAGGATAAGCTCCAGACGATATTGAATCATAGGGACTAGTTTTGAATAATCAATTTTTTTAGAATGAGGAGATAATCTTGAGCTGTGCCCATTAAAGCTTGAGGGCACATCATTTTTAGCAATGTGTTTTGGAGATTGAACATTAGGACTAGGAACTTGAACGCTAGTCGGTCTCTGCTCATAATGACTGGTTGAAGCTTGGGTATTAGGGCGACCTGCCGAAGTTTTGGTGGCCTCCAACAAAGCATTTGGTCCATTCTGCACATTCAAATTCATACAGAAAGAAATAAATTTTCAAGCAAATCATTCAGTCTCTGGTAAACAAATAACAATATAGAACCACAGCATAATCGAATATTTATCCGAGGATGTTTCGACGCATGATTAACCTATTTGCACTATACTACTCTTACCATCAAGTCATCGTATATCTTTGATTCTTTTGCTCCAAATGATTCAGGGTCCCACTTGATGTTGTGTTCCTCTGCAATTGCAGTCAAAATTTTGAGTTTGGTCTGGCCATCAGGTGGTTTGATAGATAACTTTTCGACCAACTAAAGGAAACAGACAACATATAGGATCAGTCGGTCAAAGTACTAATATCAAACTTGGGTTACATTTCAACAATTGTTCATTCATGCATTTATGTTCATGAAAACTCACCAAACGACCAACACCACAATCCGGACGCAGTTCAAGGGCAGCAGAAGTGAAATCTTTTCCATATTTTGCTGTAAGATGTTTGGTGACATCCTTGAGTTCTGGTATCTCCCCACACCTTGCAGATGCGAAAATGACACTCGAAATCGCTTCCTTCAAGTCGATTGGGCAGTTTCTGAATGATTCAGGTTGGTACAACACAGACGATAGTTATTAGAAACAATGGCAGAAATACCAAAACTCTTAAAAGATCATCCTCTCCATGAACTAGCCATAATGCATTTATCCATCCATACATGATTATCTCTCCATCCATTTAAGCACACATATAAAGCCAATTAAACAAACAGGGATTCAAAACTCTAGCTGGAAGTGTCAATCAGTCACTTAAATTCGAAGTGAAAGTGAAATACAAGTTTGTTCAAAATTTTAAAGTTATATTATGTATTTGGAGCATCCTTCGTCATGCCTATGCTCAAATGTGTTGAATTCGGATAAGAGGATTTTAAGATGAATCATGAATGAAAACTTTGGATAATAAAACGAAATTCAATAATGAAATATGAAATAGCAAGTAATTTACACACTTCTGAGACTCGATCATCGGCATTTGTGCCACGATGAGTTCACAATATATCTCAAGGAGATCATATGCCGCTATGGTTTCCTCTTCGTTAACCACATGCTCCACCTGAAAAAAAAAAGAGTTAAAAGGGAGAAATAAACACCACCACAATTAGAAAACAAAATCATGATTATCAAACTCTGAAGAAAATCCAATACCCGAATTCTGGCAGTTTGATCCTTCCCTGACTCCAGTAATTGAGCCAATTCCCTCTTTAACTGCTTAAAATGTGCTTCCCTCTTGTTCTTCATTAGCTTTATTCGCGGTATCGCTAGCTTTAAAGCTAGCTTGCTGGATAAATAAGCAAAAATAAAAACGCGAGAACCAAATCCAGAAACCACCTTAATAAAACAGTTACTGAAACATCATTAGAAATGTTAATTTACCATTTGTCTGGCTTGAAGCTCCTGCGAAACATTTTTTCCTCCAAAAAGGAGCGTTATAAGGAGTGAATCCAATCCAAAGGATTAAAAGTTTTCCTTTTCTTTCAAATATTTCTCAAAAGGGACCATGGAAAGTTACATTTGATTTTGATTTGAGCCGTAATTCGTAATTGTTAACGATAATCAGGATCTTAGAGGTGAAGGAAAGAAAATTAGGGATCCGAATCGATTGGATTATTCTTTTCTTTCATTTTTCTCAATTCCTTTAATCTATTTTTGAACGTTGTTTGAATGTCAAGCCTGTAAACGAATCTCAATAGAACACCCCAACCAGGGAACAACGTAAGAAAAGGAAGGTATGGGGCTGTGGATCAAATTAACGACGTCGAATGAATGTTAAATTACCGCGTTACCCTTTAAATGTTAAATAATCTCAATGAACGTTGTTTAATGTCGAATGTTAAATTATCTATATAAAGATAATTCTCAACCATTCGACATTAAACATTCACATCTCTTTGGCATTCCTAGTACTCGAACCCGAGATCTTAAAGAATAAATACAATTTCTTTATCATTGATATTATTTGATTCGTGCATTTAGAATAAATATTTGATTAGATAAGTGAAAATAATTTGAGTTAATTAAATTAACTAATACTATTTTCAAATTTAAACAAAATAAAAGGTATAGAAGAATCAAATTTTGATGAAAAAAACTACAAAAAATTATAGTTAAAAATGGCTTCCTTGCCCATATAGGGTAGTTGGAAAAAAATATTTTCCCATGTAAAACATCCATCGTATTGCTTTCTGAACTAGGGTTATTGTTATAGTCTTAAGGGATAGACATCAAAAATACCATGCGATTTTTTTTTTTCGATGACAGACGAATGGATTAAAAAAATGGTTGGTGGATTGAAAGACATGCAGCAATCTTAGGGTCTTCTCTAAGTCTTATAAAACACAATGCGTCTTCTAAATTTACTGTACAAACACCCTAGTCTGGGAAATAATTGAAATCAACAAAGAAAGACGAGAAGAAGTCATTTGCAAAATTATCATCAAACTTGTAGAGGGGTAGGGTGCAGTAAAATTTGATAAAATAACTGGATAACACAACAGCAACTGCCTTACCGAGCTTAAGCCATTTCGAGTACAGAAATTATTCAGGCTATCGAGTTAATCAGTGATTTCTCAGCTTCAAAAACTTCATCGAAAATAAGAAAAATATGTATCTAGAATGGCCGCAATCTAATCGTGCAAACGATGATAAAAGGATACACATCCATGAAAATTCCTGAAATGCCTTCCACTAGCTGAGCATCCTTAGGGGTAGTAACCGGTGAAAGTAAAACCCCTTCCCACAATTTCACCAGCACAAAACCATGCAAAGCATTCCATTCCGAATAACGCAGCAATACCAGCATCTTCAACCTTCAGTTCTGACCTGTGCTTCCACAGGTTCTTTACGTAATCAACTCCTTCCAGAATGACTCTGTACGGCCAGGGATACTGCAAAATTGCACCAAAAGGAGTTATTCTGATATTACTCAGGATTCTGGTTCATAGAGTAATGATATATTATTCTAATGACACAAGCATATAACAAGGAAACTGCAAATAAACACAGGAATAGTAGTAGTAGTAGTAGTAGTATGATCAACTCTTCGTAACACACCCAATGGCACACAACCACTTGTTCTTTAGTTCTCTTTGGTTAAGAGATTCACAGGGATCACAAGCAATCAAGCACCGTTCTAGAATTTCCATGATGTTACAGAGAATGCACAGTCTCATTTATAGGTTCTCATCAAATCAATAGTACATATTCACTAGTAAGCTCAAACTACAAGCCACAAAATGACATTTTTCCATGAATTCTCTTAGAAAATGGTTCTTTCTTTCTCCAGGCATGGAGTACAAATGAATTCTACAACTAAACTAACAACAATATACTATCAGAAGACCATTTAAGGTCTTTCAATTTCATCTAACAAATCAATACATCCAATTCTCTATTAACAACCAAAAGTTCTAGGAGATATTGATGGAAAGAGCCGAAAACATTTACTTTGCACTAGCAGGGGGCTGTGGATAGCTTTGAACTAAATGAAAAACATGTTACTACTGCATGATTTGACTTTACGGTTAAATTCCATATAATAAAACCTCATACACGGCCACCTCTATCAAAAACAAAAATTTCATGCTTGGTTTATGACTAAGAAATACTGCTAGAATCAACTTGATTATATTTGGATTTTGGACTAGTTATATCATATTTCTTTAACTGCAGTTTCAAATTATTGTATTAATCGGTTAAATAGAGGAAATTTGAATAAGCTTAGCTTTTAATTTTAGGCCTCAAATCTTGGAACTCTAACAGTTTGACATGCAAAAACTTTAGGAGTAATGTCTCACTTTCTCATTCTTCCTTGCTCAAAACATCTGGCACTAGAATAACAATAAACTTACTCATCTACATTACCCGGAATTCATTTTCCATATAACATTTGTGTGTGGCTAATATTTGGACATAGGTGCGGGTTACGGTTCTCCCCATATATGTATATATATATAAACGCCCTCAAGTCAGCTAATGCCTAACATAGATTGTCACATGGGCCGACAAACATGGAATTTTGTTTAAATGATAATGTAGGTGCAATACATAAATAACATCCTAGCATACATTTAGTGGTGGTCAATTTGATAAATGCATATTCAGTAACTCGCTAATGAAACCAGAATATATATCGACACACGGTGGCAACTCAGTCAATAAAAATCAAATCCTAAACAACACATTGCTATCAATCTATCAGAACTTGGGAGTATTCCCGGAAGTAACACAAGAAGCGCAAATAACCAGAGGCAAGAAACAAATACCTAGCAAGTCGAGTGAAGAACAGCTGCTTAGACAATTCGTTGCACTTCTCAACTGTTGCTGGCTCCTGAATGTATTGCTTGTTCTCCTCCAGCAACTGCTTGTAGTAAGTAGTTCCATTCCTGGCCACAAACTTAGACGCTTGGCACGCCTTAGATTGCAACTGTTGCAATTTTGACGCCATCAAAACCTGCACCGCATTGAAAGCATAAATAATTGTTTTAAGAAACTGTATCTTGTTTTGCGCAAAAAACGGTGCAATCGAAAAAAAATGCAAAAAAAAAATCAACATAAAAGGAAAAGAAAATTGAAAACAAAAATCACTGCGGATTGTGATCAAGCTCTAAAATCAATAGATCCGGGAATAAAAAATATAAGAGAACAGTGGGAGATGTTCTAAGATCAAGTAAATTATAGATCTAAGCAAAGGGCGTGAATCTTACCTTTGATGAGATAAAAGTGGAAGACGTTGTCAATTCAAGGCAAAGACGATAGAAGGTGAGGGGTGGACTGCTCTTGGCTTATCACGCCGCTTGACCCTAGAAAGAAGACCCGGGCTTTTGGGATCAGTGGACTGGATTACTAATGGCCGCCTTTTAGGGTTTTAATTTAGGTTCAGCTAGACTCGTTTGTTAATGACCAGCCTGAACAAAGCAGGCATAAAAGTCGAAACAAATGCTGCTTACAAGGCCCAAAACTTCATCAACAACCAACTAGCAATTGAAGAATTGGTTAGAATAACATTGGGTGCTTATCTGATACGAATCTATGTTTATTTTTTAAAAAAAAAAGTTCAGATAAGGTGAATTTTTTTTTAAATATAAGGTCGGGTCAAATAGTGTTATGTTTATGTGACCTGATCCGATTTGAGAATAATAATATAATTAATCTTTGGATGTTATTCTATTTCCATACGTTTTATACATCTAAATTAAACTCTACTTTGTGCTTCTATAGAAATATTAAACTATTAAATCATTAATAATTTAATGTTTAATGTAAAATTAAGTATCTAAATTACACTTAAAGTTAATTTTAAGTATCTAAAGAAATTTTTGTTAAAAATAGATGTCTAATAATATTTTTTCTATTACACTTTTAAGTGTGTCACCATAAAATTTAACCGTTATTTGACATGTGTATTATTATTATCATTTAAAAAAAATTAACCCCGTCCCCTTCCCCCCCACCCCCCCAAAATCCCCCCTAATCCCTCCCCTTCCCAAATTCTCTTTCCCATCAAATTTACTTTCATCTAAATACTATTAATTTAGGGTTACAATATTAAGGGTTAAAGATTTAGATGTTTGAGATAATAACAAAGATGATAATCAGTCAATGATTGAACGTCGATAAGTAGGTGACCTTCTGGCGAAAATGATAGTGCCCAGAGGTAGGTAGTTGAAAATTAATTTGAAATTAAAGATTTAAGGATTTTTAGGGGTTTTTATATTTTTAAATGTATTTTTAAAATATAATTTTTATTTTTATTTTAAAATAAAATTTTAAAAACTATAAGTCTGACATTTTTCACTTAACAATCAAATTTAACGACGAACACCTAAATATGTAATGTTGGAAAAGTTAGACATCTATTTTTAACAAAAAATTCTTTAAGCACCTAAACTTAACTTAGGTATAATTTGAGCACTTGTTTTTACATTAAGTCATGATTTAATAACATTATCGGTTCTTTATTACCACTCATTATTGACCATCATTTGTTAAAAAATGATATAAAAACTTTCGTATTTTAATTGTCTTCTTTCTATTTTAAAATTGTTGAAAATCTATCTAAATGTCCAAGTTTTTAATGCTTCATTCTCCTATGATGATCGTTCGATGAGACTAGTTTCGAGGCATGATTTTATCTTCTTGAAAAAATATTTTTCACTGTTCAAAATTTTAAACATATACCAAAAACATCAAAATGGTAGATTATTGAACCTATATTTTGATATAACAAATAAGGGTAAAATATTTTTGGACTTAATTGAATTTGTTCAAATGATTCAAAAATAATCCAAAGTCCACAAAGCTTGAAAAATATTTTCCAAGTATTTTTGACTTCATCTACACCTTAAAGTATGTTTAGAAACTCAAAATAAGTCAAAATATCCAATTCTTGATGTAAGGTTTCGAAGGCAGAA